ATAACAGGAAATACAGAAATTGAGGGAAGCTTAGAGCCACAGTATCCTTGAAAGCCTTACCATTATTTCTAAGATGCTGCTTGTCTGACCACAGATGTGGAGTCCAGATACACAAAAAAAGAAACTGCTGGTCGCTAAATAGTTCTTTAGTGAAAGCAAGACTGTAAGGAAACAGATAATGCTTTCTGAAGATGAAGTGGGCTGTATTTGGAAAAATATTAATCATCACATTCAGACAAACCAAAAAAAACATTATAAAATCATTTTGGCAGAAAACAACAGCTTGCTGCTGCCAGTCTAACTCAAGCCAAATGTTTTGCATAGCAGCTGGTAGCAGGTCACGTGTTTGGAGTCCCAGGCTCTCTCTTGCTTACTAGAAGCACATCAGTACCCTCTACGCAATTGTTTTAAACACAGTTTCCAAATATATGAAAAGGTCATTATCTTCTCAGTGATTTTTTTCAGTCAGGCTAATCATTGCATCCAGTCCAGTCAAGCTCTGAATTCTAACGGTTGTTTTTAACAGTGATGTTTCAGTTTCCTTATATTCTTGTATTTTTTGGCTTCTGAATCTAATGAAAATGAAATTCTTCTGGATAACAGGCACCATTCGGCTCGAATGTTTTAAAACGGGCTAATTAAAAAGGAAACATTTTTACACTATGAATCCTGACTCATGACAAGGAACTGACTGGAAATTGTTTACTTAGGGATTTCCTAAGGCACAAAATAACTTTGTGTCCACAGGAGTATTAAAAAATTGCATAAAGATAATTTATCAGCTGCTAAATTAAAATTCTTAAAAAACAGACAGACTTCCTCAGTAATGCTGTGTGCTCTTTTCCTACTATCAATGCAGGGGAGGGAGGTACCCTATAAAAATTCAACAATCATATTTGACCAGGAAAGCAGCTCTTAATATTCAAGGAAAAATAGTGGAATTGACACCAAAAATTACCCCAGATAAAAAAACCCAGGCAACTGGCATACTTCGCTCTAGAATATTCTGTAAGCCATGAGTAAGACTGGATCTTGTTCAAAATAACAACAGAGTCAAGAATTTCTGACAACAATATGTACGTCCCTTAACTATTTGATTGGCCATAGACTGAGTTGGCCGTAGACTTCTCTGTTTGTATTAGCAAGTATTATCAGTTCGGCTGAAGTACAGGGCTCAAGTCTAAAACAGACAAGCAAAATTATCTGCTTCAGTGATCCCCAGTAATTTCTTTTGTTTCTGCACCATATGTATATCAACTAAGCTTTAAGCTTTCTACACATACATTCACAATGCAAAAAGGCAGTACACATGCTACCATGTACTCTCTGTCAAGGTTAGTCATCAAACTATAATTAATGTAATTAGGACTTACATAAGATAATAAATTATCTTTTTATACTCTTACGGATGCAAAGTTATTTTATGCCTTAGAAAAATCTAAAGGAAACAATTCCTAGTCAGTTCTTTGCAAAGAGAAGGAGCTATGTTCAGCAACAAGTGAGGACGGGTGATTAGAGAACAAAGTTGCTTCTATTTCGCAGTTCAATCAAATGCGACTAGTAAGCGCTAACCCACTTTACGC